TGGTACTTGCCGTTGGTAGGTTTCGAATCCGCGCCCTCATGCATTCGGGCCACCAGAACACACCAGTATATCACCGTTTTTTAAACCCCGTTGAATTAATGGTTGTTGTTTTTCATAATAAAAACCAATAAATTAAATAAATACGTATCAATCTACAGGTCATGTATTTATTTACACGTGTCGTCACCAATAGTAGTGTGAGTATCGCAGGGTATATGAGAAGCAATTTGCCGACAGAGGTAACAAAGTAAGCGAGTGACCGACCGCCATATATCGCGCGGAGTGGCAGACTAATGTGGATTCCATGTTGAATTGTTTCGTAGGTTAATGATTATTTACTAAGTAAATAGTAATCAACATACAAGTAATCAGAACACAAATCAACTCGATCAATAAAGGTTGTTTACAACTAATAATAGTTATCTATTAAAATAATCTTAACACTTTTGATCTAATCTAAAACTAAAACTTAACTCAATTTTTTCTTGTCATCAAAAAATGGCGTTGTCGTTTAAAGAAAATTATTATTATTATCAAGTCAAAATTGATTTCATATTCAATCACGAAAAAGTGTAGTAAAATTAAACAATCCTCAGTGTAAATTTAAAACAATAATATTTTCAATGAGTGCAAATTTTTGCACATAGTTTATAAGTCTTATCCTCACAATGCTATTGTCCAGTTGGCCAGTAATTGCCGCTATCAGAGTGCGGGCCACGGCGCCATAAAGAGGTGAAGTGAGGTGGGCAACCGATCGACTGAGCTCTTCGACTATATTGATACCCAAACTATACTTCTAGATGTACAATTTAACTACTCCAGTGGTTGATAGACCATTGTTCGGGAGTGTAGAGAGGTTGTGATGGCTTTTCTGTAAAGTCTTCTTATTGTGGCTATTAATTACGTTTGATCCGACAGATTCTAGCCATGGTGATTGCTTCAGTTCTTTGCTCTTTAGTATATAGCTTATGTAGGAAATTTTGAATCGTCATGAGAATGAAATAAAACTTTGGTACCGCTAGCGTTTTTCATGGTACTGTTTTTTAATAATGAGCTGTAACAGAACTGGCACTGTAAAGTACATACCCTTGTCAATCCCATGTACGATAGTATATTATCTAACAAAACTTTAAATAACACAATTTATAAACCTGTGAACCCCGAACTGAAGTAGCGAGCCACTCAACGCCCAAACCACTACAATTTCTATAGTCTTTAAATCGCAGTACATTTCCCCTTGGCAGGGCACCGGGCGGTCAGAAAGTAAAAGGCGGACAAAGTGAACGTGTGGCCCATTAGTGGAAGAAAAACGGTTGTCCCTTCCTTAGGTAGCACCCTACCTTTATAAGAGCGGTCGTGTGCCGGTTAACCGGACGATTTGTGGACCCAATTGACTATCAATGAATAGTAGCCACTACTTACCTCCGTACCGTTTTATGGACTGCTATTAGGGTTGATGTGGTCAACGTGGGGCCGAGCCTCACTCGTCATTGAGACGAATTCATTTTGTTAATGAAGAAAACAGCAGCTCTGTGAATAATGGTGTGAGATCATCAAAACAGAACTGTATAAATACAGTGTTCTCAAGTTGGTGATATTACGCGACGTAATTTATTGTTCAGTCAAGCAAGCAGTTCTAAAATTTGTGTAATCGCTAAAGCTAAATAAAAAATCCTGTGAACGTGAACCTAATTGTGGAAATCCTTTCTCACAGTATACAATACCAATTACAAGCGAAGCATTCAACCCAATATATGATTTCATTTCCCAAAAGGATGAGTAAATAAAAATGTGTAATTTAAGTTGAGCAGGTTAAAGTATTGAAGACGGAGTGTTTCCCTCGAGTGCCGTGCTCGGTGAGTGCTCCACTTAATAATATTTTTCACCTTGTTTCGTTTTCCAATTTTCCGCAAGTCACTCTCCGGGGTAACGGGCCGTGTTTTGATTTAGAAATGCTTCACCAGAATGTGCTTTATACGAAGCGGCGACGATACGACTGCGGCGTGCATGTCACATGGTTTCTGTTCGAAGATTATTTATTTTTGTTGAGAATAGAGTTACTGTTTATATTGTTTTAACTAAGTCACAAATTAATGTAGTGTCTCTGACTGGGTACTGGACTTGATGGTTCCTTGAACGCCTATGTTGCTTTTTAGAAACAGCAATAAATCTGTTGCATATGGCAACACAAATTATATTGTGGAAAAAATAATCGTGTCGTGTAAATGTTGTTTTAAAAGTTGTTTACTTTTGTTGATGTTTCTTACTTTTATTTAGTAATACAAATACAATATTACTTTATTCTTTACACCAAAGCATAATAATGCGTTTAAATTAAACATTGATAACCGCTAGAACCTTTAGTAACTCATGGGTAAAGCAGACTTATTTTGCAGCTGTTTTAAACTTATGCTAATCTTATAGCTGTTCCATCATGTATGTACGTATCTAATGAATTTCTTTGATCAACCAATCTTCATCATGATAAGGATAATATTATGTTCTATCTCATAATACAAAAGACTGCGTAAGATATAATTCTACTAAGAGCTTCCCACGTGTACCTACATAGGTACATATTATTGTCATAGTTATAGATATGTCTGATGTGATATTGCTTAGATATCATTTCATATATGCCGCCCTGTCCTGTCTTCCTGCTTGACCCCACTTGTTCCAATCTAATTTCGTCCCTATCACAACTTTGGGCCAATGTTTGTGCACAATCGCCAAGTGTTTAGCTTTATGTGACCTGTTGGTTTTACACCTTTCCAAAAAGGGCAAACATAGTTCGAAAAAAATTGGAGAATAATAAGTTGGGGTGATTCCATTGACATTACCAATATGTTTTGGGAAGATCTTATGGTAATTGTATTGTGATTCACTTTGTATTATGCCACTAGATTGTGCCTTCTAAATGGTGGGAATTTGCTGACAGTGTGCATTGAAGTTAAAACCTCCTTGGATATTGTCAGATGCGGTATCTTAGCAACCTTCTGTCCTTCAGTATAAGAACGACAACTTCCTATTAAGATATAGTCACTTAATTCTTTATCCTCTTGTGTTCCAACTCCCAATATTGGCTCCAACGTTGGCTGTCCATAATAACTTTTATGTGACACAACACGAGCGCCGGGCGAAGACGCAGGTAACTGATGGAAAATCTAATTTGGTAAATTGAATTACTCTGTCCAACGAATGAGGGAGATATGTAATATTACGGTCCCTTAGCTCTTTGTTGTCTCAAATTATTGTAAAAGATATGATGGATGCATTGTTACTGCGTAGGTTTTTATCTGGCAAATGTATGTAATGAGTTTTTATTCCTTTTTTTTTCAATGTCATATTGTATTTATTGTTGTTGTCTTAGTTTAAGTATAAAATTATATAATCATTGTAGTATTGTAACCACGAATGCTGAAGTTTTCCAGGTTACAATATAAAGTCAAAGTCAAAGCATTTATATCACTTTTAAAACGTCAAAAATTGAATTGAACTGTGCATCCGTCTGTAAAGCTAGGCGCTGGTTCCAAAGTATAATTTTGAATGGAGAAGAACGAACAAGAAACTAGATCGTTACTCTTCAAAAAAAATGTATATGACAGGAACCATAGATTCAATGAGATACTAAATAGTTGATGAAAAAGTTAAAACAGACAACTTCATCAACTTCTTATAAACCTTTTAGTCATAAACTCCAAACCCCTCCAAATCACAAGTAGGGTACAAGATAACAAATTATACTGTACCTCCTTCTCCCACATGTATCGGCTCCTCGGTCCCACGCAGGAACAGGGTACAGGGGTACGAAACATTTAAAAGTAAGAGATGCCACGTGAGTTGTTAGCAATTTATATGCAAATTAGCCGCGGTCCACAGGGCGGACTCCTGACAGACTATTCTGGAGGGATACGGGATGAAACCTGGTAATTGAACATTATATACTACTACAGTCAATCTTTAAACTTCTGGAAGGCAATTAATTATTATATGGTTATGGTCTAGTATAATAATAGTCAATAGACTATCACTACACTTGTTTAACTTTACTTAAATAGGAGATGGTGATCGATCTCATTTCTGTACGATCTCCTGCAAGAACTCATTGTCAGTAAAACGGCACTAACATTAAATGTCATTCTCAGTTCAGAAACCAAAGAGTATAGAGGTATATAGTAAGTATAGGGGAATCACCAACCGTCTAACAGAATAGAAACATCGCAATATTCCTTTTCTCATTCCAAATTAAATGCACAAACCGCGTGAGTACGACGACGTGTTGGACCGTTCGGTCTCCAGAGACGAATCTAATTGCATTTCGCTGAGGTGAGCTCAGAGCTGGGAGCATTCCTTACTTTTTACTGGCGCATACTGATAATGAGATAAACCTTGTCGTCTGTTCGCATTCAGTAGACTTTTTGACTGCTCTGTGTAATGCTTTTATGTGTTACACGTGTGATAAATAAATTGTTCTAAATTTTTAAGATTTTAAGTTTTTTAGTTTTGTAAAAACCCTACTTTTACAAACTTGTTATTCTAGTATTTCTATTTATAACTAATAACTGTGGTTTAAGTTTAAAATAACCAGTTTCATTTACAACACTCCTTTCCTACCTACACACGTACCTATCTCAATATTTCGATAAAAACTCCCTGGACAAGTGGACATACCTTCATCAAAACTAGTTTATCTGTCCATCAGACCGTTATCACAGTGGTATCACAGTAGTGGGAGTAATGCCGGCTGACATGTGTCCCGTACACGACCCGCTAATCCTGTCCACAGTGTCCACACGACGTGGATAGACACGGTTTTTGTAATCCTGTATCTGTTTACTTGGGAATTAAGATAGTCCTAAAAACTAGTGGAGTTTTTGTGGAAGCTTATATACTGTATAATTTTCATTTCTGTCTGTCACTGTAGTCGAAGAGACGTAACAGTCTACGTATATACGTACCTATATTATGTTTAATGTAATGATGAATAAAACACATTTTATTTTTAAACAATTAAAATTTATAGCCACTAGGAAATATTAAACTAAAATACACTCAAATAAACACTCAGATTCTCACAATTCAAGACACGTAACAATTCATCATCATCATTATTAAGGTTTGCTTAACTTGACCCTGACTGGATCAGAGAGAGGACCGTCCTCTAGCTTCGTGTAGGCTTGGACCCTGACTTCGTATGTGATATCCAACTTCACTTTCCTGTAGACTGCTGTGGTCACATCAGCTGGGACCTGGATCTCATCAGGTGCTCCATCAAGTTCAGATAGTAGGTCGATACCCTGGATAAAACATAAAGACAAAAAAGTGATTTAGACTGTCTCGGAGGTCGCAAGTGCGACTGCCGGTAAGAGTTCACGGGTTCTATTTCCGGGTCGGGCAAAGTATTACTGAGTTTTTAAAAAAATCTCAGTAGTAGCACGGAGTCTAGAATTATGCCCGAGTTAAAGTTAGGTGACTTCTTCCCAGTTCGCAAGTTTTGTTGCTACCGATATAAAAATCTTTTATACACTACAGATAATCCCTGAAATACCCAATAATAGTTTGTTTAGTCTAAGTCAAGACCCTTATCTTAGAATATCCATCCATTATCCAGAAACACAGTATTGTAAACATTTAAAAATAAATAAACATAGGTACGTCCTATTTATAGATTAGAATAAGGTTAACCTATTTAGATAAGGTTTTAATACAAATGAGAATAATTTATTAATATTGTTTGCTGTGTAATAACTACATATTACAATCCTAATTAATAAGTTAGGATAAAATTCCTAATTAGTAATGAGTATCATTATTTAAATACAGTGGTAATTCCTAAATGAATGGCCGTGTGGAATGGTCGTTTAGTGTATTTTGACCTTCTTCAAAACAATGTAACTATTGATACTGTAAGCTAACAACATGAGCCAACTGGGTCAAGAGCATGTTTTTTGGAATTATCCATACAATAATTTCTTACTGAATGTAGACATTTTTAGCCGACTTCAAAAAAGGAGGTTCTGTGTTTGACCTGTATGTCTGTATGTGCACGATTGCCTTTGCGATTGGCTGAACCCATTTTGATGCGGTGTCCAGAAAAGTATTTGTTGAACTTAGGAGAAGATTTTATCATATCAATGAACTGACTTCAAAAAAAAAAGGTGTTGAAGTAGGTATTTTAAAACGTAGTTTATAATTTATTGAAAAATTTTCTCATTAATAGCATGCAGTTTGGAATCATGCTCGCTATACACCGGGATTACCTGGTGTAGATTCAAACCCAATTTTATTACACTAGCGACCCGCCCCGGCTTCGCACGGGTGCAATACGCATGTATTAGGTATACATATAAACCTTCCTTGAGGATCACTCTATCTATAAAAAGAACCGTATCAAAATCAGTAGGTTGCGTAGTTTTAAAGATCTAAGCATACATAGGGACAGACAGACGGCGGATAGCGACTTTGTTTTATACTATGCAGTGAAGAGACTAAAACCATAACTGGTGAAAAGTTGGTGTAATATTTTTATGACTGTGTATGCGATTAAGTCTACCCTTCCGGTGATAATATTATAATGGTGACGTAAGTACCTGCTCTTCAGTTTTGACGATCTCCTCGACGTTTCCGTGTACAACGACGAACAGAGTGTTTGTGATGTTCTGCACTTCCCATACTTTAACCTGTAATATTGAAAACATCGTTATATTCTAGACATTTTGAAACATATTATTTTAATCTTAAAAAGGACCTAAATCACTCTCACGATGTCATTAGGCGTTATAATGACACAAATACTTAGATTGAACGGTGTTACAGGTACAGTGCTTAAGCCTACCGGCTAAAAGCTTGGCTTTCGGGGCTAAAAGGTTTGAAGATGATGATGATATACTTAGAATTTTGAAACTGTAATGATTTAAAAATACTACTAACATATTTTTTAAAAGTACTCATATTTTTTACTTATTGCTAGCATAATACTGTAAGTTACGAATTCTTCTATGTATAAAAGAACTAAGATATAGCTGTAGCTATGCACCCATTACACACGGTAATAACGCTCATCACTACATATTACTGTTTTTAAAAAAAGATCATAATGTTATTAAACTCGGCAACTCATCTTCCACAGAAAGGGCAATGACCCAAAAATAACTAATACAGTGATAATAATTATTACTAAACTCATTTGTCTACCTTATAACCGATAACAGGATCTGCCACGTCAGCACTCTCGATCTTATTCCAGGTCATTTCAATAGCCGGTGGGTCTATTATATTCACTCTTATTAGATGAGGGGCTGACAGTAGTCCGGCCTTTGAGTCCAGAGGTAGGCCCTGGCACAAACTCACTAACACAAGAAGGTATACGCTCTTCATGGTCAAAAACATTTTTTAAATTATTTTTCTAAGTCGTATACGTCACGTCTCGTTTCTAGTATTGGAATGAACTTCAAATGTGGGTTTGGTCATTATATTACCTTCTGTGCATCTAAAGCTGTGTTCACACTGATGGTTATCTGACCTACAAAAACTAAATAGCTTTTTTTCCTATCTATTACTTCATTCTATTTCTTGCCTTCTTCTTATTTCTATTATATGTCATGTTGTTATGAAAAATAAAGAATTGATAACATACATTCTAAATATTATAAGGTAAAACCCCTACAAATGTTTTTCCCAAATCGTTGCACCGGTCATTATGTACCGGCCCTATTATGAGTCACTGCCCTTTGGTCGTCCCTTATGGTCAGATAACGTTGTGTGACGAACAACGTTTGTGTTCAACTAGATAATTAGTAGATAGTAACTCAATCGTTGTATTGTGTAATGCACAGTTGATTGTTGTAGATAACTCAGCGAGTGGACACGAGACCGGTTGGTATTCACTATTGCAACATGCTGGTGACTGTTGTGACTAATCCTCGATGTTTTTAGTCCGGTCATAATTTACAGTAGTGTGTTGTTTCCATGATATACACTTACACACGTATCGTGTAGGAGGTTACTCTTATGGTCTAGAACCAATTCTAAGCCCCATATAATTATGGAACTCACGACTAAACTAGTCTTGCGACTATTTATTGTAACTGCCCTTTTACCGAAAAATATCCCAAACAGGAGTACAAATTAAGGAAACTAAAGCAGCAATATACATACATAAAACACGTGATGTCAAACAAAAGCTACTTATAAATAAATCAGTCGGTCCTCCTCGCGCAAATTAAACATTATTCTTCAGCGGAATTCCTCCCAGGGACCGGGGACTTTTATTGGAATTTTTGCCAATAGCTCTACGTGCCAATACATACGTTAAACGGTTGTAACTGTTCACACCCCACGGCATTTAGCTTCTTTATGTCAATCGGGACCCACACATCCACACCCTGTACGTGCACACACGCGCACACACGCGCCGACATGCAAATCGCAAAGACGGAACAGGGAATCCAACGTGTATTCTATTTACTGTTGCTTTGTGTCATAGTGTACGTGGTTTTGATACTTTGTCGAAAGCAAGCACAAAGACAATAGATTTATGAACAGTGTAATCTGCTTACATTTTTTTTTCTTTAGAGAAATTCTCACAATAAATAATGTATTTTTCCATTGAGATAATATTGTTACTCCATCTATTATCAACACGATAGATTTGTTTAATTCACCTATCACAATTTCTATCACAACAAGGTGCTAGTTCTTGCCCTACTTATGAATAATCTTGGTTAAAAGTAAACATGTTGTTTTTAATTACCGCTGACGATGTTGCGTAAACCATTAGGAAAATTTTGTATTTTAGTTAGTCATTTACAAAAATGTCCCAGCTGTGTCTAATCTTTGATTTCACAATACATTATTATTAATATTAAATCCATGTTCTTAATAACAATTATCGTCAACTTATTAGTCATTCAGTAATTGCTCAATTAAGATATAATACATTTCGAAAGTAAATTTTTAATTGATGCCTAATAATTCTGCGCTGTCCGCGCTACCTACAAAATCTAACAGGTGAAGCATTTTGTCTTGCCTATTGTTAAAAAAATACATTGATCATCCAGTCAAACGAAATAGTACTAAGACTGTATAATCGCGGTACAAATCCACTATATCCCAGTATTGTCCCTTTAACACGAAACGGAGGCGTATAACAAAATAAAATACAATACAAAAAGCGTTAAACGTGAACGTATTGATTTGCTGGAATTTTTATTAGGAACCTACCTACGGAGGGGGCAGCAGTTTTATTGTACCATCGCTTACCGGTCGCACTCGCCATTTTAATTTTGTTTATATGGAGATTTGTGAGATGTGTTATCGACTCTTGGCTGTGTAATCCTGCTTCTTCAGGGTCTCAGGATTTATGAGCTTCGATACTTTCGATTACATTACCGCTTTATTCCATTGTACTAAAATTCGCAATCATGTTACAATTTTACATGATTTTTTGGTCAAAACTACTTGGATAATCTTACAAATAATCTAAGATTATTTAAGCAACATTAAATCCTCTAAGTACAAATTAGATCAAAGAATAACAAATGTGAAAGTACAGGTGAACATACAATCAATTGATGACCATAGCAATAAATTAGCTGAGACTACAAACCGAGAGTCGATCGTTGAAATAATGGTTAACAACTAAATTACGATTGAACGGGAGCCAGGAAGCAAATAATGCATAATGTGAATGATTGCAAATGAGGTGTGACATGACACCGTACATCACGACGCGATATCAATGGACCGAGCAGGAACGAATATAAGTTCTGCATCACCTTGGTACCCATAGAGCTGAACTTGGTACCCGTAGTGGATGTCGATATTTCCTTTTTTAATATTAATGCGGTTAATTAGAAAAAAGTTACATTAAACTGTCAAACACCAAGCGGTCACCGGTGACCGCAACCTATTGTTCTATAATTGTGTCTATAATGACGGTACTCGACGAGTTAAGTAGTATTGTGGTCTCAATAAGATCTTTCTCCAGGTTTTTTTCAACTAGCCCGCAGTTGGCAGTGTCAACTAGTGTCAATTAGGCACTGAAGTATTAAATTCAGCTAAATCTTCTCTTCTAAAGTCTTTGTTATAGATAGACACTTTAAAAAAATACATCTAATTATTGTCGAATCATTCGTAAAACAATATAACTGCATCTCGATTAAAAACATCGACAGTTTTCCCAGTCCCACCTCTAGTGCAACCCGTTGAAACCATAATTATATTGTCGTGCGTCGGCTCCGTCTGGCGTTCCGTTTTGTTTTTGCATCTCACTCATTTGGCCACCTTTATTGGTCCGGTCAGTCCGGAACGGTTTGATCCCGTCGACACGGCGATTCATCTCGTAGCTCTCGTTTGTTTTGTGATCGTTTATTGTTTTTAAAGGGGCTTCGATTTAGATTCAACATTGATGCTCACTTTATTGCGGGTATCACAATGTTACAAAATTTTCATGTTGTACTGAACGTTTCACGTTATATTTAGTATATTTATGTAAATGTTGTAATACATTCGTATTCTAAAATAGCATCCGTATTATAAGCTTTCCTCGAATTTCCAAATCCATCAGAAACCACAATATAACCAAAAGGAGATGAGCCAACAAATTAATTTGAAAATTCAAATGCCTTAGCAGGAAATGTAATTGTAAAGGCGTGTGTACACGGCACGGTAAGGCGGTGTTTACACCGAGCGGCGCAAAAGGTACGGATTTGTTAGAATGTAAATCAAACTGAATGTTTTATTAAACACGCTGCTGCTGGATATTCAAATTAAGCGGTGTCGATGGTATTATTGCATGGAGAAGGAGTCCTTGTTCAGGGCAATGTATTTTTGGAATATTCTTCTTTGATATTTTACACAAAGAGGTACGTGAAAAATTAGTTTAACGAACGAGTAATTTTAACAATATCAGGCCAGGTAGTAGAAAACTTGACAGTGTTTTGGAAGTAAGTGAAGGACATGAAAATGAAAAAGAAAATTCTTTTCGAACATAAAGCTTTAATGGACAAATTACACTTATAAATATGAAGGTAAAAAAAATATAAATTCTACTAAATATCATGTAATTCATTAAAATCAACAGCTTTTCAGTAGGATATAAAAGAATAACCTCCATACCACATTACCCTCGCAAGATTTCCACCTCAGCGTTCCCGTTGGCAATATTTACCCGTTACTTTCTGTAAACAGTGCTCGGAACATTGCGAATATAACTCGTACAAGAAAATTAAGCTTGTTTAATTATCTAACTTGCTGTACAAGTGTACGAGTACACAGTTTCTCAATATTTAGGTATGTAGGTGTATGGCTCTTGCATAATGAGGTGAATTGGTAACTCGAGAATTGAAGGTTTCAGTTAATATATTTAAAAAAAATTGATATGTGTTTTTTTGAGGGGAAATCATCGAATGACTTCTTCCGCCTGGGTGGGGCGGGAGGGAGTGTCAGACCCTTACTGACTAAAAACCACCCCGTTCCTACTCCTGCACTTCGAGACGGAGCCCCGGTAGCCCGTTAAGTTCGCCGCGACTCTGTATCGGCATCAGCCCTATTGGGCTCCATCCGTGGTGGTCTGATGGCTCTTTGAGGTGCGCGCTAAACGCGACGCGCCGTACGCTCGGGGTTTGTTGGTCGGGCAGCGAGCTACTCATGCTCGCTGCCCGCAGGCCCGCGAAAATTGATATGTTAGGAAGTAAAAAGTGAAATTGTAGTCGTTTTCTAAAAACGTCTTTGATTGAAAAATACTAAAATACACTACCTACTACAGGAAACTGGTCGCTCAAGGACGTAATAGTGGAACTGTCATTTAATTATAATTTGTTACAAAGGGTCCGACTGTCTAATGATGATTATGTTAATTAAATAAAGTTTTGCTTTTCGCATTTTGTTTAAGTCTTTAAAAAACGCCAACTTTCCTAAACATTATTCACGGTCATTAATAAGAAGTACCAGGCGAGCAGAAGTCGACCGGAGCGAACTTCGTATATCTGCTTCCGCTAACTACTAAAAGATGGTAATGAAGCGCACTCACCTTTATATACCTGTCCTTGTCACACTTATGTAACTTGTATCATGTCGTCCCACTCTAAGCTGCTGTCACAGCCACAACGGCCGATCCAGACGGTGACAAGAAATTAATTAGGGGAAGCTCGGGAAAATAATGGTGTGCCGTGATTTTTAAATGAAATTTATTTTCTTCACTTCATTTATTTCTGGGCGACATGACACTTCGGAAATTATTAGACTTTAGGAGGGCTTCCCTTTCCGTAGGTAAGGTTTCAACTTGTTTACCTTGTGACGTCACCAACATTTTTCTTTTTATATTTTTATTTGTTCGGGCGTTGATTGGTTTTAAAATATTTGGGTGGGAAATTGAATAATATTCTGGCTTCGGCTTCGTTTATTTGCTTTCACTTAGGTGTTTTTAAGATCCATGTTGAAAATGTCAATTGTAAATTAGTATGAGACACTTAACTCGTCGAGTACCGGTTTTGTAGACACAATTATAGAACAATAGGTTGCGGTCACCGGTGACCGCTTGGTGTTTGACAGTTTAATATAACGTTTGAATTCGGTTTAAACTGATCGTTATCATTTGTCATGTAGGCATGAACTTGAAATATGTAAATCTATATTATGTACGTACCTATTTGAATAATATATTTTCACGTTTGTTATTCTCCAAAGGAGCTAAAAGCTCCTACGGTAGTAAATACATAAATAGGGAGCATATTTCATTAATCAACCATCGTCTTGCAAAACAGAATTTCGAAATTCAACCCAAGACTTCTACGATCCACAGTCCCATACATGACCACTGAACCAAAAAGTCAGTCTACAATTTGAAAGTTTAATAAGTTGTAATGGTAATGATGTCAGCGTACGGCGGCAGGTTGTTGAAACGGCGATTAAAATAAAGGGTTTGTAATAAAATCACCGGCGATTATTATCGGAAACCCGCCGAGTGGCTCCGTAATATCCACGGTTATTATAATGGCACATCATGTACAGAAGGTTCAGTTCCAATTATCTGTATGAGATTACATAATATTATTATTTTGCGCTTTTTTCTTGTTGTTTTTCTACTAGTACATATTTGCACAGTATATGATTAACTTTTAATACCCAATGTGAACGAAGAAATATGTTCGTTTTAGTTTTAAAGTGATAGCTTGAGACTTTGAATTATTTCAAGATACTGGGCGATGATGGGGAATGGATAATGAAAATGTAGTACGTCAGTTATTTAATGAAAAAATATTAGACACTTATTAATTTTGTCGTATAAAAAGACAATGCTTAAAAGTAGGAGATTATTTCTATAAATAAAATATACCTACGTCACGCGATATTTCAAATCAACATATCGTCGAAAGTATTTGTTTCCATAAGAAAAAAAAGTGTCTGATGTTTTAAAATTATCTACCAGACATACTAGACTAAAATTAGTCATCTACTCTAATACTAGCGTCTATTGCATACTACCACAAACAGGACGTCTATTGCAAGTACTGTGGTATAATGTACACAGTTTTACAAATACATTAAACCTATCTATCATATCATCATCATTATGTCTATCTCCCACCAGTCCCCATTCGTAAATACATTCGCAATCATTTTCAATTCCAATATCAACCACCTTATATTAATTCCCACCTACTTAAGACTCACAGTTCTCTCCAAATTGACTTACTGTATGTCCCGCACCTGTGTCCCGAACTAATTAAACGCACGAACAGATTTATTAACAGATACGATTATAATGTTACATGGTAATAGTGGCGCGACACGACCACTTCTGATACTGAAACCACTGAAATATAACTTTCAATGTACTCCTGGAAACTATACTGAAGGGTTCTGTCGATTAGTGGTGAATTTTGGTCATCGTTGTCTGAATTAGGACCTTAAAGTTACCAATAAAAAACGCAGAAAGATTTAAAGAACGCTGATAATATCTAATAGGTTTAATCTGGGAATTATCTGAAGGTAATCGTTATATGCTGTATTTACATTCCCGCGCGAGTCGAGACGAGGCCAAGATACATTGTCGTTATTCTAAAAGAGTTGTAGTGCTTCTCGCGTGATAATACTGCAGTGTACCTCAACCTTATGTCCACTCACGCGAGAGTGTAAATGTAGCATTAGATTGTAGTGGTTAAAAGTTGCAAGGTTTCGTTATATTACTCAATCATTGATTAAATATATTAATAGAGTACAATTTCGATTCTTTTCTCACCAGGGTATAGAAAAATGTTCTTCGAACGTACCCTTCAGAGTCAAATAATACAAGATGAGCTATCACCACCCAAACAGACTATTTTCCGGTCCAAAAACCGTAGACTTCCTCAAATAATCTTAGACAAAGGAAAACATTATCTGAAGCTGTTCCTCGAGACATCATCCATACATGGACTGAACCATTTGGTTGCCGATAAGAGACACCTTCTCGAAATGTAAGTAGAAAAATAGTATTATGTAAAAAGTTTTTTTTTTAAAAAAAAAACGTTGCCCCACACTAGGATTATCTCCTGTGTCATTGGTTCGTTTACAAACATACAAGTTCACATACACATGACACCCAGACCCGGAACAACAATTTGTGGATCGCACAAAGTTCCGTGCGGGAATCGAACCCGCGACACGTTGCACGGCAGCCGGTTACCCAGCCACCGCACCAACCGTGCAGGCAGTATGATTATAGACTTTGTTATCTCCACTTAAAATATAGGTCGTTTTGCATTCCGTGACACTAACATTTTTGCAAACTTATAAAACTGGCCAATCAAGATAAAAAAACATCAATGTTCTAAGTAAACTTTTTAAATTCCTCTTCAACAGCATACTCTGGTTCACCATCATCTTACTATCAGGGTTTGGCTCCCTGTACCTGTCCCAGATGACCTGGAGCCGTTACCAGTCGTCTCCCACCGTCGTCTCCATGGACCGAGACATGTTCGCTTGGAACACCACCTTCCCCTGTGTCACCGTCTGTCCTAATAATTACATTGATTCTAGGAAACTTGATATCTTCTTGCGGTTTGTATTTTCCATTTCTAGGATAATTTGTAGTACAGTTAAATATTACTATGGTTCTCATTTACGTTTTGAATTTGATTTTAGAAACTCCAAAGAAGAAAATAAGACTCGACTAGAAAACTTCATCATCAGCCTTGCGAATGCTTCATACAGGAACTTTGAGAGCATTCCAGTCTACCCAGATATTAGCCCAGACAAATACATCCAGTTACTGGTGAACTTATCTGTACCATTCAAACCATCATTGACCATTGGAGTATCAAATGTGGCTTTATCAATAGTTCCTACTATTACTGAGATGGGTCTATGTTATGCCGTGAATTCGAGGATGGCTGTTTATAATTCTCCAGAGTAAGATCTCCTGAGGTTTACTTCTTAAAGAAAATTGTCATTGGACTTCTTACAGGGATATAAAATAAAAATGTTTTCTTTTTTTCAAGGTATAGAGATGCAAATCGATGGGACATTATAAATGATGATACAAAAAGTTTGTTCATTCATCCATTGGACGGAGAAGTGTTTGCCCAAGTCATGAATATTTCCACTTCGTATGACGTAAGTGTACCTTTCTGTGTTTAAAGTTAATTATAAGCATAACAACAATAATACTTGAATTCAAAGCTATTCGTTTCATTATATGTTAAGTGTTTACTTTGATATTTCCTTTTTGCTACATTTTTTGTCATGATTAGTAATACTTGACCCACTTCAGGTTTACATCCACGGTCCTCAAGAAGTTCCGGATATATCGACAAAGTTTCAGCGTTCAGCCAAAGGGTACTACATGAAGTTGTACGTGACTGCGCTCACTGTCTACACCTCACAGGAAGCAGCTAAGTGATTACGTGTTACACTTCATTCTCATGGTTCCTTAAGCTTTATAACTTTCACGTCATAAGTAAAAAGATCATTTGCATTTATTTCTTGATGGAGAACACTAAATGGCTATGTAACCCACTTTTGACAAGTTATGTTAAGAGTTTCCAATAGGTGATCTAGACCATAACTTTAGGTGTTAACCGACTTAAAAAATTTAAATTGTATAAGACTATTCCTATGAATATGTTAGAAGGATTGTGCGCAATTATCTTGTGATTGGCTGAACCGATTTTGATGTAGTTTCCAGAAAAGTATTTGTTACATATAGGAGAAGGTTTTAGTACACTTACTAACCGACTTCAAAAAAAGAGAGGGTTAAAGTAGGTTTATTTAAACGTAGTATATGGAATAATTATTTAGTTCGTCTTTGTACTATGATTATCAACTATGCATTAAATTATTAATTCCTTCACTCCATACTTCAGCTATTTCTGTACAGGTTAAGCATCAATCAGCGTCGGTGTCGGTTCCCCCACGAGAATAATCTGAAGCACAACTCGATATACACGTACACCATGTGTCGCATGGAGTGTCGTATTCGTCTCTGCTTGAAGTACTGTCGGTGTATCCCTCACTTCTACAGGAGGATTGGTAATGTTGCCGTCTTTATTAACTTCCTATAAACAATATTCTTAGGTGCAAATGAGTTTAAGCTACCAAATATGTAAAATTTTACAGGAGACGAACAACTCTGCGATGTAGAAGGTTTGCACTGTCTCTCCAAATATAAAGGTAAAATAAAGTTATTTTTTATATGAAATAGGAGGCAAACGAGTAGACGGATCATCTGATGGTGAGCGATCAGCGCCGCCCATGGGCACTCGCAACACCAGAGGAGTCACAGGTGCGTTGCTAGCTTTTTAAAAAGGAATAGGCTCTTTTCTTGAAGATTTGAAGGTTGTATCGGTTTGGAAATACCGCCGACGACAGATCATTCCACAGTTTTGCTGTGCGCGGCAGAAAGCTACGACTAATGATTTCAATATGTTTTATTGTGACTCTGGTGTTGCGGGTGTCCATGGGCGGCGCTGATCGCTTACCATCAGTTGATCCGTCTGCTCGTTTGCCTCCTATTCCATAAAAAAAACAAAAACTTTTTATGTAGATAGATTGCAATGCAATTGAATTCAATTTCAGATGAGTTGTACAAACTTCAAGATTCGAGTGGAAAGAAAGTGATGTGTGGATGTTACCCACTCTGTGATGACGTCAACTACGTGCTGCAGTCTAATGTATGTACAATTTAAATTTTAAACTTTATTTATCATGTTATAATGTATAATATACCTATACAGGTGTTTTGTGTGGTGAACTTGTGTATTGCTTTAGTTGATGCACAGGCGGAACGCCCAACGCTGCAACTATTTTCTTCCTGTTAAAAATTCATAGCTAGTTTGTTTTAGATGTAGGATAATATTGTAAATGCTGTATTTAGTATTTATTTTGTTAAACTTACTGTAAAAATCTCACATTTGTATTTTGACAATAGAGTAGTTTCCTAAATGTCCGTCTGGTACATTAATTTAAAACTTTAGACACGTATTTTTTCGTTTCTCACAAAATCATATACTTTTAACGATATATTAAATTGAAATATCGTGTGACGTAACAGCGTGCCAAATTTTGTTGCACGTTATGACGTAACGAACTCCCACTCCTAAACTTAGCGCCATTTTATCTAAGTATTGCAAATAAATACGAGAAAATAAAAAATACGTGTCTAATATTTTTTCTTTCTCTAACTGACGGACTAATTAGATTTTTAATTTTGATACCCTGGAAACTACCCAATTGTATCGATGTAAACAAATGTTGGTAAATTATAAATAAATAAAATAAAATAAAAATAAAATGAACACTCCTTGATGATATTTGTAACTGTAACGTTTATCTATTTGTAGGCTCTTCAAGAATGGTTTCTGGGTACAAACCTTCAATGGGGTATGGTGACATATCCTCGCATGAGGTACAGAAGGGATATTATCTTCGGCTTCACTGATGTACTGGGTATGGCCACTGGCACCAATTATTAAATGAGGTTTTATTTAAAATACTGATGATTCAGGTATTACGAATTATGTTTGTTCTTATTCTGTAGTTGCTGTTGGCGGCATGGCTGGTCTGTTCCTGGGCTGCAGTGTGCTGAGCTTCATGGAGATAGTTTACTTCCTCACGTTGCGCCTCTTCTGCTACGCTCAGACTTCTAAATAGTATATTGATTTATATCGGTTAATGCTGCATCTCTTTATCGATAATACGTATGGTAGAATGGAATTCTTATAATCCAGTACAAAGTATTATGTTCTCTTTCTTGTTCTTTCTTATTGACGCTACTCAATAATTTCAATTATTTAGCAATATCTGGAAGTTTCTCTTAGCTTTACACGTAACAACAATTATAACTTGGTTTTAATTAAAATGTGTGTGTTGTTTCTATACATAGTACCCAATAATCTCATTATGAAGCCATTAACATCATAGTTAACGCAATGCACCCAAAACTACACCAATTTGTAACAAAGTACCCGGTCGGGTCCAACAGACCCCAGGTAAATTTAATTTAGGGTTAAACGTAATTGCAGGCGACGCACATCGGGTCGTATTAACACATCGTAAATTCAACCCTTAAACACCTTGCTAATAATTAAGATCGGTCTTTGAGACCCTCGGGATTGTTGGGCCAATTTAACAATAACACCTACTGTTGTGGACGGGTTAGGGACATATTGGGTCACCTTTATTTAGTAACGTTTTACAAGGGTTGGGATAAACTGAAGAACTGGAGCGTTGGAGTCGTATGTATCTTAATTATCTAACTTAGCATAAAACTGCTTCAAAATCAAACAATAGTTCAATTTATTATCAATCCCAGAAAATAAAATATAGCAATGTCACTTATGTAAATCTTGATATTTCTCTACACACAAATAGTGCATGCCGTAAGATGTCGATAAAACTCATTATCGACTTATCTGTCGTGAGCAAGACGTACTCGTAACACATCGTCATAAAAGGCTTAGCTAGGACCGTGGGGTGGGGGGTGCAGGGGGCGCGGGATAATGTTTAAGATTATTGTTTGGAGTTAGCGGGGTTGAGGTAATTTAATTCTGAGACGTTCTACCTTTGTGTTTGTGTTTAGTGATGTTGCAAAGTTAATATCGAAAGTGTTCGAGCACACTTACCTACACAATACAATATACGCTATCATTTTCTGCGCTGATTGTAAGTTAGTTATTTTATTTGTCGTCGTATTTTCTTACTTCAGGAAAAAATTATGGTTATGCTCATTATTTTAAATAATTTAAAGGACTGAAATTTTCTACTAATGAATATTTTAAATTCAAGGAAGGACTATCCTAACCATTTTTCTTTTTTTAGAGTTTACCAAATTATACTTACACAAATATCGATAAAAACAACCCCATCACTAAAAGTAGGTGTTTATTAATACTACATGTTAAGATTTTAATTGCGACCATCAAGTGGCTTTTGTTTATGAATGAGTTCCCGCAGGGGGCGCCACCATACATCGCTGGCGGCTATGAGGTGAGAGATACAGATGAACATACATACATACATATTATATACATATAGTTATACTTACCTCCCGTGTGCGTATCAATTATGTTTGACAAGTTGTAACTTATACAGAGGGTGGAAGGTTGTAAATGGTCTGATTATTGGGCCTTTGTGGTTATTGTGCCTAATTAGATAACTTTATAATAATTTATGCATATTAAGTTGTTGCTTAGTAGATCTACAATTTGGGAGTCTGATCGAGGCAAGATGTAGTTGATTTCATTGAAATCAAGAAAGTGTTCATGGAGGACTACCTCGTTGGCCGAGTAGTCGCAAGTACGACAGTTCTCGGTTTCGATTCTCGGGTCGGGCAAAGTATTTCTGATTTCTTTTTAAATCTCAGTATTTGCATGGAGACTGAAAGTGTGCCCGGTATATGGCAATAGGTTTACCTTCTATTACATAGGACTCATAACATACCTAAATAGTGAAAAGTGGGTGTTACATTGTACACTGGCATTAAGTTCCGTAAGATGTCCTTACCCCTTCGGGGATAAAATGTTATGTTATGTTGATGGAGAATACTATCACCTTCCCAAGAAAAATGGCAATAATATATATTTTTATAGAATTATAATGATATAAATCTCACAAAAGTCTACCCACTTAATATCTAGATGTCAAGATGCACACTGCATTCTTCTTCTCATATTTCCAATTGCATGTTAGTAATAAATAACATTAGTTTCTTTAGCCACTTTAATCTGGATACACAGACCCTATAAATAATTGCACTTACGAGTGCTACCAATGTCCAAAACCAATTCATTTTTTGCCCCCTCTAACAAACTTTTCCACCATTTGCCACCCTATTTATTTATAAATGTCGTAAAACGTTTATAATATTGATGCACGTGGCCGATTGGGATAAAATACGGTTATTTACGAGATTCGGAAAATGTGACATTGCTATAAAGGAGATGATATATGGCAAGATATTTTGAAGGTCATCTTTGTTGTACGGATGTGATATTAATGTGTTTTCGAACTAAAATGGCTGCTAATAAAATTGTAATGAGTTGATGTTGACGTAGATAATATCTTTTTTATATATAGAGGTATAGAGAGCTGTAAATTATTGTCTGATGAGTGTAGATTACCGTCGTAGTGACCAGGAGGTTAAGACGCCCACTTCAAATGAGGGTGCGCGTTCGAAACCTAGCACCGGCGCTATCTGGTGAAAAATTGGTAACTACTTACCAATGTGACTTTGTCCGAGCTATATGTTGTTTCTAAGATTATTTACACAACATAGACAATAAATGGTGAAGGAAAACATCGTGATGAATCCTGGACTTATAATTTCATATTATAAGTTTGAAATCGCCAACCCGCAATGAGCAAGCGCGGTAATTAATGCTCAAACCTTCTGTGTGAAAAGAGCCTTTGCTCAGCAGTAGGAACTAATAGGCTGATGATGAGTGTAGATGACAATTGTTCGTATTGAGATCTTTGACGATTGACATGGAGTTTGAAAAATATTATAGCAAAAACTTTTGGAAAAACACGCCACTATGGTATACTGAACGGATGGTGCGGTGGCTGGGCAACCGTCTGCCGTGTAACGTGTCGCGGGTTCGATTCCTGCACGGAACAACACTTTGTGTGACCCACAAATTGTTGTTTCGTGTCTGGGTATCATTGTGTATGTAAACTTGTATGTTTGTAAACGCACCCACGACACTGGAGAAAATCCAAATGCGGGGCAAAGGATTGTTAAAAAAAACTCCTGAAAATCTTAACAGTTTGGTGTAAATGACTTTTTCATAAATGCCAAAGCGAAATTTTTCTCATAACTTAAACAAAATGAATCTCCAGTACCCTCACCATTGTCAGTGTTGCCATCAAATCAACTTCCCCTGACCTATCGTTATTTACCCCACCTTTAAGATTGCCAGATAAAAAAATTGCTCCCTGATTTATGGGGAATTTTTTCGCCGATAAATAGTTGTCTTAGAGGCCTATAGGGCGGGCTCTTCTCATTTTTCTAAGGTGGATATTGCCTTTTTTGCTGATAAAGAGATGACGAATGAGGTAGGTGTGAGATAGTTTATGTTTTGCCGCAGATTTATTACATGGCTTCTTATTTTACGATCACTTTATTATAGGTGTGGTTGGGTAACGCTGTTCACTTATCTTCCTTTTGATCAAATTGGGAAACCTCTTGTGTTACGTTATATTTTTAGAAATTTAATGCGATGTTATGTTAGATACTATTGCTAGTTTGATTGGTTGTTAACAATTAAAACTACAACATCAATGTTACTTTCACAAAAGATAATTCTCATTATTCACACTTTGAACAAAATAATAACCTCATTCATAAATTCAAAATTAACGATCACAGTATAACGAGTCGGTAATCACGAACCAAACGAGATACCTCGACACAAAGCCTCAACTTACCCACTTATAACTCAAAATAACCGATCCGCCATCATGAACAATGACGTCACTTCCTGACACCCGCGTTTGATGTCACTCCGAGGGGGCGCCACTTGCCGAGAACAAAGATTTAACTAAGAAACAAAACATGCTTACTTACGATGTTACCTATAGCGGGAGATCGCAAGGGTGTTTCTTGAGTATTAGTAGAAAATTAAGTACAAAGAACATTATTTTTAGACCTCTTCAAGCTTTTTTTTCAAGAACAATGTTTGAATGAGGCGTTTATTTGAGTAGACGAGATGTTAACACAAATTATTTAAATAAAAAAATACAAATGTTTGTTTCATCAACTAATTATGTACATACATTAAAACACTATTATGAATTGTTATTTTACAGCAATTACCTCGCATGTTATTTTATATAAAAACTATGATATACGAATTTGACATTGTCTTCTAGGTACTTAAAATCTGTAAAAATCAACCGTATACCTACTATTATTGCAAAGAAACCTTAGCCTTTTTAATGATCAAGAAGTAACTATATACAATATAATATTTGTGAGCACGCTGTATCATCCCTCTCACCTCTTGCTTTTGTGGCAGTCTGTGGCAGGCGCGACTCCGCCGCCTAACTTTTTAACGAGCGCTCACATCCACTGCATCAAAATGACAATAGGTAAGTAAGAACATTATTATTATAATATACCTACAAATAATGTGTAGCTACTTCTCTACCATGTTCTAAAAACATTTTTAAGAGAATATCGTCCGTTACAATTTTGTTAAATAGTTTGTGAGTGCAGCGCCTAATTAAAAAATGTTAGCAAAGTTGAAGATTGGCTGTTTGCATTCACATGCTGTAAGTTTACAAATAATGTAGCATATTCAAGCAACTATAACTAAATGCAATTATGCTTTACTTTTTTGACGTCTCTTGTTGGTAATAATTTCGATGTTTATGGTAGTCTATAAGATTAGGACTTAATCACATAGTTGATATAATACAGATCCTCAATTTAAGCTTGTCACGGTGACGTCATAATGTTCTATTACCATTAATTCACTAATTACGCGGATAATATGTAAATGTATGCTAAACATATCTTAGTGCGGCACAGATTATTGAGCTCATTAGTTAATTTATACGTTCACATCTCATCATCGATTACCCGGCTTGTAAAATGGGTAGTGACACTCTAGTGCTGTCTGTCTTATTACATTATATTAATTACTAGCGAC